ATTTAGTCATTTGACAGAGAGAGACACAGCGAGAGAGGGAACACAAGCAGGGGGAGTGGGAGAGGGAGAAGCAGGCTTCCCGCGGAGCAGGGAGCCCCATGCGGAACTCAATCCCAGGACCCCGGGATCATGACCTGAGCCGGACGCAGATGCTTAACTAAGCCACACAGGCGCCCCATGAACTAGAAACTTCTGTCTCCACTGAGACAACGAGGTGTGTGAGACGTACAGTTGGATAACGTGAGAAAGTGACACATAAGCTTTGGTCACCAGGTGGTGTGATTGGAAGCTTGAAATTTAACACTTGTCTTTTCTCAGTTCTCGTGCTGACTGCCTATTCTGCTCTCTGTTAGAAATATGAAATGGTGTTTGATATTGTCTGAGACATTATGGAAAGATTTAATTATTTGTAATAAAAGATTTACTGCAGTCTGATAACTGCCCAGAGGTGCGCTGTTGGGTTTTTTGTTGACTAAGATAGAGTACTTTATATTCTGGGAGTATTGAGTTCAAGTGCAAGTATGTGGAAATCCTGTCGAAACATGTTTAGAGATGGATTAGTGTTAGTTTTAAAAAAGACTCGTGGAAATAGTCAGCTGTAGAGGAAGCCCCGTTTGTGTACATCTCAAAGACAGAACAGAGATGTTAAGCTAACTTTAAGGGGAGATAAAGGCTGCCTCCTTGATGCTCAGTCAAGGTCACCCAAACAGTCCCAGTTTTCAGGCCCCTGGTTAATACTAATTTCCATGTCTGGTGTTCTCTCTCAATGAAATGAACAGTTAAGGAAAAGCTATAAATATCTTGTTAAACAAAAACGAACCAACTTCACTAATGTTCTGTCTCCTCCCAGCTCCTTGACATTTTCAGTCTGATGCGGCAAAAAGGACATGCTTGTCAACTTTAACTCTTTCTCTGACGCAGAAAAAGGAGCATGGAGTTGGAATACAAAACTTAGTTCAAAAGATACTCGGAACTTTTGTCCCAAGTCTGAGAGTAAACAAAAGGAGGGCTGAGCGCCATGACAGAAGACTGCTTCTACTCCGTGCCTTGAGTGCGCCTCATGTGTTGGAAGAGGCGGTGGCCCTCAGGGCTCTGGCCTCCAGGTGGGGGGGAACAGGCTGCTGTGGCCCCGGAGTGTTGGCTCCCACGCTGTGAGTCAGGATTGCATAAGAGAACTCAGCAATGCTTTCCAAGGCAATGCCAGTGATGCTCTGCAAATGCCCCACAACCTTCAGAGACAGACAGATTTAGTATTACTACATAATCTCAGCATGTTTTAGCGTACAGAGAGGCACGCTTGGGCTGTTCTCTCATGCCAGATGTAAATTTTTTTGTTTCTCTGCGTTTACAGAGAAGATTAAATCCAGATCCAGTGTTTGCCAATGGCCAGATGACATTAGGATCCCTTTACCCTGATAGTGTTAGCCTGGAAAGTTTCTGCTAGACAGTTCATTTCTAGAGATAAGGTCTGTGAAATATGATGAGGGCATTTGGGCCTAGACATTGTCTTCTACTGGGGAGGATATACTTACTGGACCTGAACATAACTGGGTTATCATCAGAAAGGGAAAGGAACAAGCTGAACGTGATCCTCCATTTCCAGTTCCACAAGGGGAAAAAACTGGAGAGCGCTTTTCAGACCTACCCTAGTGTTTCCTCCCCCAAATCCTGCTTATTCATCCTCATGCTGGGTCTCGACTTATTTTTTACAAGTTGTCTTCTCTTTTCCTTTAACCGATGGGAGAATGCTTTCTATTAAGTGAATTCTGATCATGCCAGTCCTGCTCAGTGGTCCGCACCTGGCTCCAACACTTGTGGTTTTGGATGAAAGCACTCGCTGCAATGATTCCTACTGCCAACAGCATGAAGTCTTCCTTCACTGAAACAAACTTTTCCCTGAGAGATTAAAACCATATTAATTTTGGAGCTTGAGTGGAACTTCATCTTCCAAATCCTAGGGCCATGGGACTTCAACTATGAGTTGTTTTTGTTGATCATCTTGGACTTTTTTAGATATGGAAGGAAATGGCTAATTGGCCCCCTCCCCTAACCCACCTGGGATCCTGACTGGTTTATCCGCCTTTGTTGTTCCATCTGTCTCCCTAACAAATGTAACTGCAACTGTGAGCCTTTTTACCAGTCTGACTTTACAGTAATCAAACACTTTTGTCCAAGTCGCCACCCTGTGACTGGCTTTTTTTCCTAAGCGGCTAAAAGGCAGTCTAGTAATCTCAAATCGAAGCAGAAGTAAAGGAGGAACTATGAAAAAGAAAGTATTTTAATTACCTGCAGTCATTTAAATTTAAAAGCAAAATCCTTTTGGGTTTTTGCTGATTGGGCTCAGTCATCTGCATCTAAGCAACATACTGGGAGTTCATTAAAACTGGGTAACCTGCGCAGGTTATCTGTGGACTGGATGCCTTATTGGGTAAATTCCAGTCCCGTGGTATGTTCTCGAGGTGTGCTCCTAACTTGCTGTTTCTGGAAGAGGCCTACCCTAAAGGAGTTGCCTTACCCTTGCAGCTGACTGGGTACGGAGTTTTCAATCGAAGCCCTCAGCAGGCTCCCGTATATGGGTTCGTGCAGGAGATAGACAAGGTCGAGCAGGGTCAGGCAGGTTGCGTGCAGCTGTGTGGCCGGGACCAAGCAGCCATTGTATCCTAGATGGGGTATGGGCATGGCAAAGAGTGGTAAGTGGGTCCTCTCTGAGCATAATCACCACTGACATGTGACAAAGCTCTTGAGCTAATGTGTTCTACTGTAGGAAACCTCTTTAGTTGGAGGTCAATTTCAAAGGATAAAGGGAGAGATAGAGAAATCTCCATCTGCCGTGTATATACAATTAGAGTATATTTGTTTGTTCCCCTCTTATCTCATGCCTCTCTAGAAAATCACCTCTTTGATCCTGCAATAAGAGAGTGCCTAGTGAGTCCAAATAGAAGCCAGGTGCTGAGACCTGAATTTCCTTCCCTGACAGGTACCAGACTCCGTCATCCCAGGCTTCCTGCTGTTTCTCATCGGCGGGTTCTGCCCACTGCTTCCAAGCCCCTGGGCACATTCTTATTGCCTTCTATGGAAGATTCCAACCCACATCCCCTGACACACTTAATACAGTACCTAAAACCTCCAGAAGCATCTCCACATATGCCAGGGGAGTGGGCAGATTGATTTGGAAGTTCAGGGACTTCAAAACATCAAGCTCTGACTCCAGCAGTTCTTCTTTAGTGTGCACATACCCTAGAGACTGGAGGAAATTCAGGACTGTAACGTTGCTGATAATCTGAGCAAAGAAAAACAAAACAGAGGGAGAGAGAGAAGGGTGTCAGACTAAAGGTCACACATCTTGGCATAGCATACAAAGCTTTTCACAATCCAGCCCATGCCTTCATCGCGTCTTCTCTCTTGGCAATTGTCCCTCACGCCCCACGCTTGTCATATAGGATTACTTGCAGTTCCAGAGCCTGTCCAGTTCTCCAAGCCCGTACACGTGCTGCTTCCTGTGTCTGGGCCCTCCCTCTCCTCTCTCCCTGCTTTCCTGAACTCCTCTCCCTCTTTCTTAGCATCCACCCATCTCCTACCCACGCCTACCTACCCCCTTCAATAAGTCATTTTCTCTAAATACACTTCCTTGACTTTCCAAGGCCACAGAGGTACACTACACTAATCGGAGCACCCTCCCACATTATTTGCCTGTGTGTCTTCTCCCACTGGATAATAGATTCCTTGAGTGCGCAGGCAATATTTTTACTTGTTGTACCCATGGCACCTAGTGCAGCCTCTGGCCATAGAAGACAGTGAATCTTTGTTGCGGGAATGTTATTTTATCATACAGGCAGTGGGTAGGGGCATGGAAACATTTTATCCTCTATAAATGTAACAGTTTGTCTTTAATACTGATACGCCTGTTGGCAATTCAGGCACCTTACGTAAACTGTCCTTGAGCCCAAGGGGAGGAAAGGTGACCTGTATAAATGATGGCATCTGTCCAGCAATTACACTTTGGGAACATAACTTCAGGCTATTTAAAAACTGCCTCTGTGTGACTGTGTGTGTGTGTGTGTGTGTGTGTGTAGGAGGTGTGCTTATTTAGGAAGCATAATTGCACTCTGGAATTTCCACAGTAGTAGTAACACCTAGCTTAGGAGGAGGTTTCTCACAGTTGCCTGTGGACGAGCTGGTTTCTGCTAACACTCAGGTGCCCAGGAGGGACCCCAGCTCCTTACTTTGTAGTGGAAGGAAAGTTTGCTTGCCAGTTGAACACATGACACAAGACGCAGGATAAACTTGTTGAAAAGCTGCTCTTTCAGAGCTTTCCAATTCTGAGCCTCCTTCTTCTCTCTCAGCTGGATCGTGGCTTGCCTGTTCATATTCTCTGCCTGCTTAACCATAAACCTATAAGGAAGGGAAGGGGAGAGTAAACAATCCACACTCATCAAACTAAAGGGAGTTTGTGCTGCAAACTATGGGGTATCTCCTCCTCTCCAATCTCAGTCCCTGGCTGAGAAATGGACATTTGCAAGTAATAGAGGGTGCCAAACCAGGTCTTGCACTAAAGGGCAACTGTACTTTTTTTTTTCTTTTTTAAGATTTTTAAGAGTACATTAGTCCTTCTGAGAGGTACCACTCACAAAGACCTATGCTCAGTGTTTTACCTTTCTAGGATTTCTACAGCCTGGTAGCTCACGGATTTCTCCAGACACCATTGTTCAGACAGGAGAAAAACAAACTCTGCCAAAACAAGAAAGAAGAGAGTAACTCACAAGGTGCAACCCAAACCACTCTGTGAACTCCTGGCATCGTGTAAAAGCCATGATGGGGCCAAGGGAAGAGGGTCAGGGGGTGAGAAAGGAGACTGAAACAACACAAGCTGAGCTGAGTTCCCTTTCCTGCCAACAGGCAGATCAGAGGCACGAAAAGGAGGCTGACTGAGCGCCAAAGACAAGGGCTTACCAAGCCCCCTCAGTGACCCTTGAGCCTTCCTGTGGGTCTCAGATGATAAAAGGCTTGGCCAGCTACACACAAACATACCAGCTGGTCGAGCTGGCCTCTACACCATGCTGGGAACCTCCAGCTTCAAGGGAGAATCTTGGATGGATAAAAACCGTAACCCGTATATTCTGTTTTCAGTGGAATGTTGACAGGAACGGAAAAGTCCCTCCTGGAGCTTCAATATTCTTTAAAACACTGTTTGTTTAGTAACCACCCTCTGGAGAACTCCCATCGCTTTACAAGCACGATTCACCTTACAGCGGACACCATCTCCCCACCACCGGTTTGTTGGGTAAATCCGTGGTGGCTGAGCCTCTCCCCAGGAGCACGTTTGTTACTGTGGAGTGGCTTCTTTTGAAGAAATAGCCCCTAAATCAGGGAACATAGCCCACTTTGGTGTGGGGGGGCACAGTCACTGGGGAAGTGGGAAGGGCAAGATACCTTGGCAAGATCTTAGGCCGCCTATGTTTCTCTTTGAAAGAACAGCCCCAGATAGAATTTTATTTAGTTTGCAATATCATTAGAGGGTGGAAACAAGGGTAACTGTTACTTCTCAATAAAGGAAGCTCCTGTAGAACTTGGGACTTTTAGCACTGATCAGTAAAGAATTACGCATAGTCAAATGACCATGTGTCTTCAGAGAAAATTTGACTTTCTTAGGCACGTAGAAGTCATGCTAGCACAAAGTTGAACAGTCTATTTGACACATGTTATACATATGTATAAAACCTTACTGTTACAGAAACTAAAGCCCTGCTAGCAGTGCCCAATGCAGAAGATAATTAGTTTAAGCAATTAAGCAAAATATCCTAGAACACATAATTATGTTATTAGTCCTTTCATTTGCTGGAGTTTAGACCTTATTTCTGTTTTGTTTGTGTGTGAGTATATAGTTTGGTTTTGGTTTGGTTTGGGTCTGAATTATCTGGGTGATTGTTTCTATTTTCTAGTTTAATTTGCCAAGAAAACTCAGCTAGGGTTAGGTGCAATGGATGATGATTATGCCTCCCCTCCCTACCGGCTCTCCCTCCTGCACTACAAACACCCATCTGTTAACTGAAAGACCCTCCCCTTCCATCCTCTTAAGCTAGGGCTCTTTTATCTCCTTAGTTTCCATCACTGTTAACTTTCTTGAAAGCCTGGCTTAAACCTGCTGCTTCCACTTCCTCATGAATTCCTGAATGTTCTGTAGTTTGCCTTCTACTTTTCCCAACTTGCTAAAACAATGATCTCAAAGGCCAGCAAATATGTCCAAATTATTAAATAGCATCACCCTTTTGCAACCTTTATTCCGTCGTTCATATCCCTGAGGCGTGTGAAACTGCCGACCATCATCCTTCTGGAAACTCTCTTGGCTTCCAAAGGTGTCTTGGTTCTATTCCTTCCTCCCCAACCATATTTTTAGTTCCCTTCATGACTCTTCTTCCTACTCCAATTGCCTGAACACAAAATGTCTCCCAGGGAACTGTCCTTGACTTGCTTCTCTTTTCTCCCTCTCAGACTCATTCTCTGTCAGTTTTATGAAGATACCTCCTAAACCTTTGTCTCTAGGTCTGACCTCTCTTCTGACTTATTTTTTAAACAGCTCACTAGAAACCCTCCTTTAGATGTTCTACAAGCACTTGAAACTCAGTAGATCCAAAAACCAAAGCTGTTCCTTTCCCAAACAACGGTCACATTTCCTCCTGTTCTCTTTTTTAAATGAATGTGTTTCTCTCAATGGCACCACTATACTGCCGTTTTCCTAGGCTCAACCCTTTGGCATGGTCATCTTTGCCTTCTTCACCTCTTAAATTCATCCATTGCAGAGCCCCAGATTTTACCTCTGAAATGTTTTTAATCCATCCTCCCTTGTCATTCCCTCTGCCCTATTGCCTAAATTACTGACACAGACTCCACTGGTCTACCTCCCTCCTACCTGTCTCTACTCCAAACCATTCTTTACATCACAGCCAACATATTTTCTAGGGCAAAGGCTAAAGTCACATCACTCCCATACTTGAAAACCTTCAATGCCTTCTTGTTTCCCTACTAAGCTACATATAAACTCCTCCCCTTGGCATTCCACACGGAATGCCTCCAAACTACTTTTCTGGTCCTAATTTCAACTATTCTTCCACATGCTCCGGACAACCTGGACTTAAACACTGTACTCACACTCACCCCAAACTTCTCTATTTCCATGGCTTTACTCCTGTTATCATACCCTTTTGGTAGAAACGCTGTCCCTCTCCTCCACCTTCACCAACCAAAATGTCATCCTTCCTGGAGGTCTACCTTAATTCTTCCTGCCCTCACCTCACCCTATCACTCCTTTCAATCCCCATAAAAGCTTCTTTTATCTGGTATGTCACTTATCTAACCGTCCTTGAACCTAGTCATTTCCAGACTTGTTCTAATAGCCTCCAAAGCAGGGACTGAATCTCCGTTCTGTCCCGCTCTCCCAAGTGGTGTGGAGAAGCACTCTGTACGGGTTGAAACCAAGGGTGGGGTGTTGGTGGCTCTCGTTCATCACTCCATTCCCTGTACCTGGCATCTAGTAGTTACTAACAACACTTATTTGAATGAATAAGGTCAACTGAATCTCCAGGTTGGTGCCTCAAAGTCTCCCATGAAACCGGTTCCCCAGCCCTGCGTCCACACCCACGATCCGGGTCTCCCTGAAGCTGCCCATCCGGCCGGCAGCCTCCTGCACGGCTTGCTCATTCTGCTGCGCCAGGTGGAGCAGAGCGTCTTCTATCGTCTCTGTGGCCACAGCCCCGAACTGAAAGTCACTGAGGGAGGCCAATCTTGACCTCACAGGTCTGTCCATTTTCAGAAGCCTTTGGGGACACCTGGACGGCTCACTGGATCCATAAACCGACCCCCTTAGCTTCACTCCAGAACCTTTTGCCTTCTGTGTGCTTGTCTTCACCTCAAGTGTGAGGAAACCCCAATTCCCACCGCGGCCTCGAGCCCTCCACAGCCTTTTCCCGCCCCAACGGCCGCGAACCCCCTCAGCCAATCAGAAAGCTCGGCCGCTTGCCCCCTCCCCCCCCCCCCCGGCTCTTCCCCTAAGGCCAAGAGCCGCCCTCGCTTCGAGAAAGAAAACGCGGACTACAACTCCCAGCGTCCCCTGCTCCGGCCCAGGACGGCTGTTCCCAGGAAGCCTCGCGCCCTGGGACTAAGAAGGGCGGAGCGGCAACATGGCAACCCCGGGTGCTGGTGACCCTCTCCATGCTAAGAATGGAAAGGCCCCTGTGGCTCAGCGCATCGATCCAACTCGGGAGAAGCTGACTCCCGAGCAGCTGCAATTCATGCGGCAGGTGCAGCTCGCCCAGTGGCAGAAGAGTCTGCCACAGCGGCGGACCCGGAACATCGTGACCGGCCTGGGCATCGGGGCCCTGGTGTTAGCTATTTGTATCCGTCCAGACTGTAGGCTCAGGAGATGGCCTAGCGGGGCAGGAGAAGGGGAGCAGAGGCGCGTAGTAGGGCAGTGTGGGGGTGCTAAAAAGAGCCCGAGCTGTGAAAGTCGTGGCCATTTCTGATGCCGAGCCAAGCGTTTAATGTATCTTAGTCATTTTAAAATGCTCTTTTGATATGACTTATTAATAATAACGGCATCGGGGTCGTGGCTCAGAAAAGCAGAGGGCAGAAGATCGAGCCACTAATTTGGGAGGGTGAGAGAGTAACAAGGGTGGTGGAGAAAGTCTGGGAAAAGGCAATATGCATACTCCGAGAGATTTCCTGAACCCACTTCCCCAGATGGCTACACCTTCTATTCCGTGTCCCAGGAGCGTTTCCTAGATGAGCTGGAGGATGAAGCCAAAGCTGCCCGAGCCCGGGCCCTGGCGAGGGCATCAGGCCCCTGAACCGGATGGGCACTGCACGTCTCCAACCTGCGGGAGCCCCTTCACATGGTGGATGATGCCCCATGACCCTGTCGGAATCGAAGCCTGCACACAGCATCGTTGGCCTCGACCTTGGACGATGATTGAGCCCAAGAATTTTTTGCATTTGTTCAGGTCAAGGGAATATTGCCCACTTTACACAAACTGTGTGCAGTCACTGAGCCCTTCTTGTATTTTGTTTCTTTGAGAGTTATATGACCTTGGCTTTTCTCAGGATTTCTGACTTTGTGGTTTACCCTCTTTACCTCCCAGGGGCTTAGCTGTTGTGGATGTGGCAGCTCGGTGTAGTGTTGGAGCCTAAAGTGGGAAAGATGGAGTTAGGTTGAGAATAATAAACTGAGTCACCTCTCTTGGAGCCAGATGAGTGTGTTCAGACTGAGGGATGGCATGACTATGCTGGAAAGCTCCATGGGCACTAGCTGCAGCAGTGGTATTGCCCCGGGGAGCTGTAAATGTTTAACTAGAATTACTTTTCCCGTGAGATTTTTCCACCTGATTTAAGGGAGAGATCAGGGTGGGTCACTGGGCTGTGAGACTGAACCACGTCTTCAGGGAGGGAAGGTCACTCTTCTGTCCTCTACCCTTAAAACCAATACCTCCAACTTTCCTGCCTTTTCCCATTCTGAGAGAGAGGGGTAGATGAAAGATGAGGGACAGCCTTCCTTCTTTTAATTTCCACTTGGGCCTGCCTCTCTAGGCCTAAGGTGGGGTCTGGATGAGATCTTAGCTTGGTCAAGTGGATCGTTGACCTTGCAGTTTCCTCATGAACTGCTGGCAGGCAGTCAGAAGGCTGGGCAGCTGCCAGCCATGATTCCCATTGTGAGGAGAGTCCCTTCTGAATTTTCCCCTCCCTTACCCCACAAGGCTTTACCCCCAGTTCTTAAGGCACAACAGATACAGTGTCACAGAATCCTAGTTTCCAGCATTTTTATTGACTGTTGCTAATTCTAGTGTGAGTACACCCCCTACACTTGCTCAGCTGGGAGTGTGCCCTCTAGAAGCATCAGGGCTTGAGTGGGATTGCTTAGTGGTTGACCCTTGGCTGGGGAGGTGGAGGCATGAGGATGGGAGGCTGCAGAACTGATACCCACACACAGGAAATAGTTCCCACATGTTTGGCTCTTCCCTATAATGGAGCAGCACTCTCCATGCCCCTTTGGCCTTCTACTCCCTCAGTACTGGGGTCTTCTTGCAGAGTTGTGTTGGTCAGCAGATTCTGAGAGCACAAGCTCCATGGTGGGCCCTGGTGTGGGGGAGACACATGGCTTCTGTTCTGAATTCACTGGAGGGAAAAGAAAAAGCACTGAAGAAACCTCCAGGATGGGAGGAGGGTGAAGCTACAGTCAGTTACCATTCCCTGGGCTTGCCCTCCCTTGGGCCCGCCCTCACCATCCTGCCAACATCCCCGGCGAATGTCACCCCCTTGCTTGCCCGCTGCTCCTGGGAGCCGGTGCTGCTGCCACTCAGGGAGTTCCTTCGCATGATGCCTGGGTGCAGGATGGGGAGGGAGAGCACTGAGTGAGGGAACGGGCCACGGCGGGGAGGGGGCTAGTCTCCCCAAACCAAGGGGCAGACCCCCAGGGCCTGTAAGAAAGCCAGATCAGTAGGGAAGGGGACCCGGGAAAGATGGGAGCTGGGCCACTGCAGTCTCACCAGGGCCCGGGGGCTCAGAGCGCTGCAGGCTGTTGCGGCGGGAGGTGGGGAAGCTGCCCTTGGAGAGGCGGCGCTGGCGGCTGGACAGCATAGCAGCCGGGGCCACGATACCCGCTGGGGGCTGCTTCCCAAGCCGGCTGTACAAGTCCTCGATTTCCTTTTTCTGTAGTGTCTGTAGTGCCTCCACCTCTGACAAGTGCCTGAGGATACACCGGGAGCATGAGCGCTAGCCACACACTTTGCTCTCCCGAGTCCACCTCTTGTCCTTCCTCCCCAGACTCACTTCTGCCGAAGACTCTGCAGCTGAGCCCAGAATTCCTCATCCTCCCCACTGCTCTCGGATTCCTCACTGCTCAGACACAGGCTGCTGTATGAGTAGTTCATCCACACTGGGCTGGGATGGCTCTGGGGTGGGGGGCTGCCCCCCACTCGGGGTTCCTGCCCATCGTCCCCTTCCTCCTCAACTCCAGCCCCTAGGCCTTCAGCTGCACGGTCGCTCTCAGCCAGAGCCTCCCTGGCCTCAGGCCCGCTTCCAGCACTATCCTCTGTGTCTGAGCTCTCCGAGGTCAGCTGAGGGGTTGGAGGCTTCAGGGAACTGGAGAGAGTTGGGAATGTTGGTTGCAGGGGAAGAGGCTCAGCTGGTTCCTTGGATGAAGTCACTTGGAAACGCCCCACAAGCTGCGGCTTCCCCTCTGTCGAGTGACAAGGAAGGAGTCACGGAAGGAGGGAGAGAAATCGGGCAGGATATGAAGTGAGAATAATGGGTCAGTGATCAGAGGCCTCACCTTCAGAGATGGGCTCTAGTCTGGCTTCCCCCAGGAGTGGCCAAGCAGGACTTGGCAGGGCCTACAAAGTATGGGTCCATGAGGAGGGAAATGATCCAGAATGGAGTGCCCCTAACCATCCCTCTTGGTTTCCTACTCACCTCACTCTCCATCTCAGCTGTTGAGGGTGAAGGCCTCTCCTGGCCACAAGGAGCAGGGGGAGGGGGCGGGGACAGGCTAGGTAGGGGACCGGGAGGGGCTGCAGGAGACTGGGACAGGAGCCCAGGTGAGGGGGACAGCAGGGACTGGGCCACAGTCATCACAGCCAGTGAGAAGGCACTAGCCAGAGAGAGGAGAGGGGCTGCTGTGGTGGAGGGGAGGGTAGAGGTGGAGGGGCAGGGGAGAAAGGAAGGAGGAGTAAGAGTCACCTGGGAGCAACTGGGAGAGAAGGCAGGCGGAGAAGGGAGGACTGAGCTCTGCAGAGAATGAGAGGCTGGGCCAGGGAACTGGGCAGCACTGGGGGAGAACGCAAGTGGAGAGCCGGGGGAGTGTGGCAAGATATTTGAAGACACTTGGGAGAATGGGGAGGGGCTGGAGTATGGGGGAGAAGTGATGGGGAAGATGGGACTTGGGGAAACAGGGGTTCCGGGGGAAAACAGGTTTCCAGGAGACAAGGGGGTTCCAGGAGAAGATGAGGAGGTGGAGAAGGCTGCCCAGCTCCTCTGCTCCGGGGAGGTGCTGCTCTGGAACTCTGCTGGCAAGGAAGGAGTGTTGAGTTCCCAGTCCCCCATTCTGTAGGCCCTGCCCAGGAGCAACCCCAAGGGTTGTGATGAGTAGGGACAGAACTCAGTACATACCACGGGATGGGTCTGGGAGGGGGCCCGAGAGGGCAGGCAATGGTGCTGGCTCCTCCTGAGGGAGAGAATGGGGCTCACGGTCACAGCGGGGAAGAGCTGAGTCTTAGAGGGGACATTCAGAGTGGGCTTCAGCTGGGACCCATGAACCTCTAGGAGTCCATAAAGGACTTTCAAGGCACTCAAAAGTGTATGTGCTAAAATATTTACAGGTAAAGGGGTATGATGTCTGCAATTTACTCTCAAGTGGTTCAGGAAAAAATAATATGTGCACATACATAGAGAGAGGGGAGGGAGGAAGACAGTGATAAAGTTAATGTGACCAAACACTGACAACTGGCAAATCTGGGCAAAGGGTATCTAGGAGTTCTTAGTACAATTCTTGCAACTTCTCTCTGTAAGTCTGAAATTCTATCAAAATAATGAGTTGAAAGTATGCATTGAACACATTTTTCTAGAACAAGTGCCCACAGCTTTCCTCAGATTCTCAAATGGGGTAAGAGCCATTGTTTTCGGGTCCCAGAGATGAAGGAGTTACAGCCAAGGGGACTGGTGAAGGCAGAGAGCAATGAAGTCTGGAGCAGAGAGGTGGAGGTGACCAGAGGGGTCTGACCTGGGGGCCCAATAGGTCCTCAGCAGCCTCCACAGGGCCAGTATCTCTCTTCAACAGGGTTTCCACTCGCTGGATAATCTCCCGAATACGACTCAGGAAGCCGGCTCGCTCCGAGGGCAGAATGAACTCGTTATACACCTGGCAAGGGGTCAGCAGGAAGGGGAAGGAGGGCTCAGTGATCCTACTCCTCCCTTCCCCGCTGCACTGATCTTTAGAAGCCAACCCTTCACCGCACTGCTCTGCCAACCACCAACTTAAACAGGTATTCAGTATCTACTGTATGCCAGGCACCGTGTGGTGTAAGGAGAACTACAGCTTGGAGGACAGTAGCTAACATTCCTAGGACGCATTATAGCCCAGATGCTTCGAGGGTCTTATCTCATTCAACACCAACAACGGCTCTCTGGGGTCTGTATTCATATCCCCATGCGCAAAAAGGTTAAGTTCAGTCTGCCTAAAATCACAGGATTTGCACCCAGATTTGTCTTAAAGCCAGAGCCTGAGTTCTTTCCACTGTTGCTTCCTATGCTTTTGGACACAACTCCTGCTCTTGCAGGACTTATGAAGTGTACTATCCAGGCTCACGTACACACACACCCACAAAGTTAAGTAAAAATAAGGCAATCGATGGTAAATGTAAATTCAATTTCACAAACACTGGAGCACATACTATATGCCAGGCACTGTTCTAGGTGAGGAATACAGAGAAGAATAGAACAAAGTCCTGGTCCCAAAGAAGCCCAAAATCTAGTGGAAGAGACACATATATAGATAATATACTGCAAGTCAGCCCATGGTAGGAAAGGCATTATGATCAAGGTATAGAGAAAATACTAAACCAGCAAGAAGAAAGGGAGAGTTGTTTAATGGTACAGAGTTGCAGATTTGCAAATGAAGAGGTTCTGGAGATCTGTTTCACAACATGAATATACTTAACCCTACTGAACTATACATTCAAAAATGGTTAAGATGGTAAATTTTATGTTATGTGTTTTTTTGCCGCAATTTTTTAAAATGCCATTCCAAAGAGAGAGCAGGTCATGCCACCCAGGAGGATAAGGGAAGCTGGGATGGCTTCACAGAGCTGAGCCTTAAAGAATGAGTAAGAAAGCAACCCTTCCGGGCGCCTGGGTGGCTCAGTTGGTTAAGCGACTGCCTTTGGCTCAGGTCATGATCCTGGAGTCCCTGGATCGAGTCCCGCATCGGGCTCCTTGCTC